CCACGTGCCTGTGTGTGTTTGTGTGTGTGAGAGGAATTCATTCAATTCAACCAAAAAAAAAAAAAAAAAAAAAAAAAAGAAAGCGAGCAGGTGTATATGGTCAGCCTAGGCACACTGCCTCCCTAGCCTTCCTCTCTCCCTCTCTTCTCTGGGGCCATACTGACACTTTCCTTTTTTTGTGTGTTTTTTAATTGGGAACAAAGGTCCAATGACTCCAATCTATTCCTATGGAGGAGCACGTGCTGGGAACCAGGCCCAGCGTCCCATATGAAAATTTATGGAGAATTAAAAAAAAAAAAAAAAGAAGTGCAACCCGGGCCATTACCCGGCTTCAGCTGAGGAAACAGATCATACGCTCAACCACTAGAGTATTCAGAAATTCACTCACAAACCAAGCTGTTGAAGTGTAGGCCTACCTTTGACAAAACACAAACTGACCGCAATTACGGCCAAAACTGTGGATGTATCTGACGGCAATTACGTCCAGGGACTCAGTCGAAGAAGTCTGTGAGCATCCCCTGCGGCCATCCCCTCCCACTCAGACTTGCTGGATATTCCTGGTGGATGTATCTGACCCCTTCTATTGCCATATGTGGATGTATCTGACTGTAATTCTCACTGTAATTAGGTCCCAAGATCCATTGACAATGTCCTGTTAGTATGAGCATTCCCTCACCCTCCTCTCCTTCCTCTCCTTCCTCTCCCTCCCTCCCGCCCTTATGCTCTAGCTCTGCTGGAGCTGTTTTTTATCCCGGTATTTTTTTTATTTTTAATTATTTTTAATTTTTTTTATCCCGGTAATTCTTCTTAGCCTCTTCGTCGTTTTTTTTTTTTCAAGTTCCTATTCTTTTTTCCCAAAGCTGTGGAGGTACGCTGACACATGTCTTTTTTTTTTTTTTTTTTACACGTATTTTGTTGTCGTCCTGAAGAAGTGTGCTTCCCAGCTGTTCTTCTTCTTCTTCTTCTTCTTCTTTTTCCTTTTTTTTCCTTTTCCATCTTGTATGTACCTGGCCGAAGAAAGGGCTACATCCTGTCCCAAAAAGAAGGTCCTAGATTGATTGCCCCCGCTCCTGCGTGTTAGTGGGCTCTCACAGCACAATGTGGCGAGCCCCTTTTGCCTCCCTTTGTGCCTTTCCTTTTTTTGTCCCCCTTTTTTTTGGGTTCTCTTCTCGGGCTCCTTTCTGCAGGGGTGACTGTGGCCGTTTCTTTTCTTCCTCCCTTTTCTCCCTCCCTTTTCTCCCTCCCTTTTCGCCACCGTGTCCCTGGTCGTTTCTTTCCCCTTTTTCCTTTCTTCTTTGAGGCATCGGGCCTCGCAGCACCACTCATCAGACGCCAACGCTATGGGCATACTCACGCCAACACTACTAAAAAAAAAAAAAAAAAAAAAAAAAAAAAAAAACGGCCGACTACCACACTTTTCTCAATGTATCTGACTGCAATTAGCTCAAGAAAGAGCTGGATGCATCTGTGACTGAAATCAGGTCGTTCAGTCGAAAAAGTGCTAGCGTGAGTATGGGCCTCGTTCCACGACTCTAGAGCCTAGACTCCCGAATTTTCGAGAGCAACACCTGGCTCCACTTACTCTTGTAGACTTGTACTCACAAAGACGTAACCTTCGAGAGCTGTCAGAAAGCAGCAGCAGTCTGCCACAATTTTCTCAATGTATCTGACTGCAATTAGCTCAAGAAAGAGCTGGATGCATCTGTGACTGAAATCAGGTCGCTCTGTTGAAAAAATGCTAGTGTGAGTATGGGCCTCGTTCCACGACTCTAGAGTCTAGAGTCTCGAATTTTCGAGAGTAACCCCTGGCTCCACTTACTCTTGTAGAGTTGTACTCACAAAGACGTAACCTTCGACAGCTGTCAGAAAGCAGAGCAGCACTCTCGAAGGGCACTCTCGACGAGTCTAGTGTGCTCCCCCTCCTACCCCCACTGCAGCCTCTTTGTTTTTCACGAGTGCACCTCAAGTCCCAGCCGTCAGAACAGGCTGGCGCTATCTCATAGTGCTGAGCTGTCAGAACAGGCTGACACTCTCAAAGGGCGCTCTCGACGAGTCTAGAGTTCACAGCATGCAACCTCATTGGTTTTCTAGTGTGCTCCGTCCTACCCCCGCTGCGGCCTCTTTTTTTTTCACGAGTGCACCT